TAATAATAATAATAAATTATTAATAATTTATTATAATTATTATTATAGTAGTGCAGGATATATTAATGTATTATACATGTGACGAGGCATTCGAGTCTTTAGATAGCGACCGGGAAGTTATAAGCACAGTTTCGTTTAGGTGACTGTCGATGTTTAGGTACTCTGTGCCGAAAGTGATCATATAATTATATGTATAGGAGAGCGCGTCCTCAACCAATCATAGGTATATTATATGCATTAGTGATCGGTGTAATGCATTCGCGGTGTACAATACAAGTGTGCACACTAAACTGTACTACAGAAACAAAATGTACCTATAACGTTATTATAATAGTAATAATAATGATAATGATAATAATAATATGTACCTATACATATTATTATTATCATTATCATTATTATTACTATTATAACGTTATTATAATAGTAATAATAATGGTAGCAATAAAAATAATTATTAACATAATAATTATCATTATTGATACAATTATTATTACTATTATTATTATTATAATAGTAATAATAATGATTGTAATAATAATTATGTTGATAAGGATAATTATGATGATAATAATGATGATAATAATAATAATAATAATAATGATAATAATAATAATAGGCACTGATGTGCTCGCTATTAAACAGAGAAAGACGTAAATAATACAAATACGATACGACATTACCTTAATGTCGAGGTGCGCTACGTTGAGCGAATGTAGAAATGCAACTCCGTCTAAAATTTGCCTGAGGAGCTTGGCCACCTGTTGTTCCTCCGGTATTTCGTCTCGGTCTAGCACCATTTGTAATTCACCACCAGAGGCCCTGCAATCAAACACAGTCGTCATCTCATTGTGCCGATCTGCTCGGTCGCCGTGTCGTCTTTTCCCCTTTTGTCTGAGTTGCGTAAGTAGCCCAAATGTCCCCTACCTTATAGGTACGCGTGCTCTATGTATGATATACCGAATAAAGTTCAACCAAACTTTGAACGCTTCCACGCTTAAATATATATATATNATTAAGTTGAAGTTAAGATAATAATAAAAGAAAGAAAAATAATAATAATAATAATATTTATGATGATGATAATGATGATGATGATGATAAAAGTCAAGTAAGCTATAGTAAACTCACAGCTCTAGAATGAGGACCATATCGGTATTGGTCTCAAACACTTGGTAGAGAGAGACGAGTCTGGAACAGTGGGCGGCAGCATCGAGCACCGCTACCTCGTGCAAGGCCTCAGGTCTCAAGTCTTGGGCGCGGCGGCGCTTCTTCAAGAATTTGGCTGCCCGTTGGTGGCCGCTCGAGCGATCAACGCATCGTCTTACCGTCGCGTACTTGCCTCTGTAAAAAAAAAATTCCAACTTGTAAGTCATAAGCCACTTATAACTTTCAAATATTTGTAAGTCACCCTCTAATATTATATTATATATATGTATATATATATTAGCTTACTATACCAAACAAAGCCAGGAAACGAAAGTAAATATTTTCTAAATTCAAAAATTCAAACCCAAAGTTCATCAAATCTTCAAATTGCTATATTTTGGTAAATAACGCAGATATCACAATAAGGACAACGTTTTCGTGATCATGAAAAAAAAAATTTTTATTTCAATTTGTGAGAAATTGACCATTCATGACTTTTAATTATTTGTCACCAACTCTTTAATATCTGATGTATTGGATTATCGTACCAAAAAATAACAGAAAACAGTAGTATATGCTGTAATACAACATGCGAAAAATTTCGCGAGCTTGTTTTTACGGTATTAAAAAATAATTTATTCGAATATTGCTGATATAGGGTATCTGTCCCAATTAGAGACCCTGTCCCTATCGTGGACCCATTATCACATTATTAATGATAAGTTAAATGAGTGTTTCAATAGCACAATGAATTATTTTTTAAGTTGTTATTTTCTCTCTAATTCACCATAATAATGACAAAAAATAGCATTTAAATAATGTTATATCATTAAAATAATATATTAAAAAGTTACACAACGCTTTTGACTATTTTCTTCATCATGCCTTGTTGAAAACATATATATACACGTCCCAGATAAAATAACTCGGTCCTTCATCAATTTCATTATTTGACACACGCAAGTTACATGCGAGCAAACGCGACAGACATGAGTACGTCTATTATTAACACTCACGCGCGCACAAAAACAGACATACTCACATCAACATAATACTACATGGAATGAACAAAAACATAAAGGAAAAAAAACGAAAGGAGGCAAGCATAGCTACACCCTGATCAAACATATAGGTATATTACAATAAAAACGTGCACAGTTACACAATTTATACTTTGTAAAGGCGCGCTCGCTCGTGTATTATATGTATCAACTTCCTTGGGTTAGAATTTTTCTCCATTACGTATAAAATCATGAGCATCAGCAGCAGAACTCTGTAAAAGAGTACACGAGTAAGTATACACCGTCGCTGCTGCACAAAGCATAAATGATAAATTAGATAATCAAAATAAATTTGCCATACTAATTTTTTTTGACTAATTTATTTGCTTCGTGCGATGAACGGCAAGTGACGGGAGCGCGTATATTAGATCCGTGCCATCGACGACGTACTTATTAACAAAAAAAAGTATTCATTGGTTTTGTTTTTACGAGATGAATGTGAAGGCAGCAACAACCGCGGTTGATGACAGACGAAAATTATAGATACGTCGAGTTGACAGTTGTGTTAACTGAGCCATACTCATTTACTGTAAAGTACATCTGGGTAACAATGGGCTTTGTTTACATGTGTTATATAGGTAAAAACGGTGGGTTGTCCTAACATTGTGCGGGGATAATATGTGGCACACAACAACTACAGTGCCCAACTAAACAACGAAGCCAATACGCAGGTATAACTTGCGACAGAGGGCACACAGAAAACATCTATAAAATGAAAAAGTAAAAGAAAGAAAAATAATAATAATAATAATATTTATGATGATGATAATGATGATGATGATGATAAAAGTCAAGTAAGCTATAGTAAACTCACAGCTCTAGAATGAGGACCATATCGGTATTGGTCTCAAACACTTGGTAGAGAGAGACGAGTCTGGAACAGTGGGCGGCAGCATCGAGCACCGCTACCTCGTGCAAGGCCTCAGGTCTCAAGTCTTGGGCGCGGCGGCGCTTCTTCAAGAATTTGGCTGCCCGTTGGTGGCCGCTCGAGCGATCAACGCATCGTCTTACCGTCGCGTACTTGCCTCTGTAAAAAAAAAATTCCAACTTGTAAGTCATAAGCCACTTATAACTTTCAAATATTTGTAAGTCACCCTCTAATATTATATTATATATATGTATATATATATTAGCTTACTATACCAAACAAAGCCAGGAAACGAAAGTAAATATTTTCTAAATTCAAAAATTCAAACCCAAAGTTCATCAAATCTTCAAATTGCTATATTTTGGTAAATAACGCAGATATCACAATAAGGACAACGTTTTCGTGATCATGAAAAAAAAAATTTTTATTTCAATTTGTGAGAAATTGACCATTCATGACTTTTAATTATTTGTCACCAACTCTTTAATATCTGATGTATTGGATTATCGTACCAAAAAATAACAGAAAACAGTAGTATATGCTGTAATACAACATGCGAAAAATTTCGCGAGCTTGTTTTTACGGTATTAAAAAATAATTTATTCGAATATTGCTGATATAGGGTATCTGTCCCAATTAGAGACCCTGTCCCTATCGTGGACCCATTATCACATTATTAATGATAAGTTAAATGAGTGTTTCAATAGCACAATGAATTATTTTTTAAGTTGTTATTTTCTCTCTAATTCACCATAATAATGACAAATAATAGCATTTAAATAATGTTATATCATTAAAATAATATATTAAAAAGTTACACAACGCTTTTGACTATTTTCTTCATCATGCCTTGTTGAAAACCGTAAGATACTCATATTTTTGAAATGCTGTATAAAAAATTAGGAGTATTATTTGAACTCAAAAAAT